CGGGCCTGTCCCGGTCCGGGAGGGCGGGGACCCTGTCGGCGCACACCGGCCAGAGGGTGGGCAGGGCCGGGGCTGGAGAAGTAAGGGCCCGAGCAGGTCAGGTGACAGGTGCTCGTGCCACCGGCGCCACTCCCTCCAGCCTCCTTCCTCCTCCTGCCACGTCCTGGGGGCTGGTGGGGCGGTGGGAGGCGAGGTCGAGGGAAGACTGGGTGCTGGAGGTGGTATTCCAGAGTGGGAAACTCGGCAGGATTTCTTTCAGAGAATTCCAACAAAATCGGGGGAAGGATTCATTCTGCTCTCTAGGGCAGAAAGAGAATGGAAGGTCTGAAGGCTTGCAGAAATAAATGTGTGACCTGAAAGAACGAAGCAGAGAGGACTCAAGGTAGGGACCTTTCTATCCCAGGAGGCTAGAAACAGAAAGGTCTCTCTTCCCTGTGGAAGGACAGGCAGGTCTGGGGTTCCCTGGACTCTCTCGGACTGGAGTCTAAGCCTTACCAAATCAAACTGGGCACAGTCACCGTCCTCAGGGAGCCTCCATTGAGCCCTGTTTTTAACAAGTCACTTGCCCAGTCTAGGGTAGTAAGCTTCTCACTGAAAATCTCCTCATACCCTTCATGGAGTACTTCCCAGGGGATACACACCTCTTTTATTCAAGCCAGAAATTCCTTTATGGCATTTCCACACTAGGGTGATTATGTAACTTCTCAGATAAAGCTGTATCAACATATCCTCTATTAGGTGACATCCTTGGCTGAAACATTCCGTTGCATGAATCACCGGGGCGTTCTACACTAATAAGCAGGGAGCATGTGTGACCTACTGCAGTCCCAGAGGGCCCCTCAGAGGCTCCTTTTTTTTTTTTAAATTGAGACGGAGTCTCCCTCTGTCGCCTGGGGTGCAGTGGCGCGATCTCAGCTCACCTTCGCGCCATCTCAGCTCACCTTCGCCATCTCAGCTCACCTTCGCCGCCGGGCTTCTTTCTAGTCACTGCAATTGGCTGTGTGGCCTAGAACATCACTGCGGCTTTTGTGTCTTAGTTTTCCCTTTATGGACCAGAGCTAATCATGGTAATCTCAGTTGAGCAGGGAGAATTACCTACACACGCCTGTAAGCCTCAGTCATATCCTCTGGAAGTGGTTCTCGAACTAGAGGCTGAAGCGCAGCACGCTTGTGGCTGCAGCACACTTTGTTTACCAGTCTTAGCTCAAAATCACACTTTATTATATTTTAAAATATTAGGCACTTATAGGAAATTATTGACATTTGAAAGCACACTTTAGTATGTATCAATTTCTGAGAGTCTGGTATAGAGAAGAAGCATTAAAGTGCAGCAGTTCTTTGTCATTAACTGAGTGACACAATAAGGGTGATACAATATGTGATGGAGTTAAAGAGTCGGTGTCCTGGGTTCAAATTCTGGCTCTACCATTCTCTAGTTATGTGATCTTGGAAAAATTACTAAACTTCTCTGTGCCTTAGTTTCTTCATCTGTTATACTCAGAGATGATGATGATGATAATAATGCCTATCTCAGGTTATTGGGAGGATTAAGTAAATGCTTTCCTTAAAACAGTATTGGGCACATAGTGAGCACTTATTATACAAAAATACCGAGTGCTTGCCATATACCAGGCACTGGGGATCCGGCAGGTGACTTTTTTTTGCTGAGCTTACATTCTAGTGGGCAAAGGAAGTCAGTAAACAAAATATGTTGGGTGATAAAAGCGTTAGGAAAAAATAATAAGGCGAGGTGTGGTGGCTCATGCCTATAATCCCAGCAATATGGGAGGCTGAGGCAAGAGGATCACTTGAGGCCAAGAGTTTGAGACCAGCCTGGGCAACACAGAGAGACTCTGTCTTTACAAAAATTAAAAAAATAGCTGGGTGTGGTGTTGTGCGCCTGTAGTCCCAACTACTTGGGAGGCTGAGGTGGGAGGATCGCTTGAAGCCAGAAGGTCAAGGCTTCAGTGAGCCGTGATTTCACCACTGTACTGCAGCGTGGGTGACAGAGTGAGAACCTGTCTCAATAATAATAAAAATAATTTAAAAGCCAGTAGAGAGAGAGACAGGAGATGGGGTGATGCTATTTATACAGGATGGTCAGGGAAGCCACCTGTGGTAAAGTGACATTTGAGAAGACCCCTGAAGGAGAGGGGTGAGTCATGTGGACATCTGGAGGAAGACTTTGCTGGCAGAGGGAACTGCAAGGGAAAAGTCTCCAAGTACTGGGGCTGGGGGCAGTGACTGAGGAGATATGTAGCTAGAAATGGATAGCCCTTCTACACTGTGGTTGAGGATTGGCTTTTACATGGGGAAATAGGAAGACATTAAAAGTTTCTGAGCAAAGGAGGGACATAGTTTGCCTTCTACTGTAGATGCATCCACATGCTGCTGTATGGAGTGGCCTTTGGAGAGAGGGTGGATGGTAGGAGGGAGGGTAAAAATGGGACTTAGGAGATTCCTATAGCATTCCAAACAAGATGTGATGGTGGCCTTGACATGGTGGAAGTGGTGAAGCTGTGAGAAGCCCTGGGCCCTTGATAAGTGCTAGCTGTTATCATGCAGCTTTGAGAGTTCATATGGTCTTCTGAGCCCCAGTTTCCTCACTTGCAGAATTAAGGGGCTGAGCTCATTCATCATTCCCTCTTAGCTCTTAGAAAGTTCTGGTTCCTGAAAAGCTGTGTAAATACTGTCTAAATTGAAATGGGTTTGAGAGTAGGTGCTGCTGAATGAAAATAATCTTGGGTTGAATCTTTTGATAAGTGCTTTTGTAGGGTGAAGAATAACCCTTCGATTTGTTTTATAAGTGGAGTTTAAGATATTTGGATTGCTGGAGATGAGTTTCTTACATTTTAGAAATGTAAAGAATAGGAAGGTACTAAAAGTGCTCAGAATATTTTATCATGGAAAATTGCCTTTTATTCCAAAAATGCTTGATTCCTTCTCAATCTAGGGCATGGTTTATTTTGAATATGAAGAGCAGAGAGAAAGCCTGAATGAGTTTTTTTGTTGTAACTAAAAGTTGAGCAGGGTCAAACTATCCCTTATGGGGAAAAGCCATTAGCAAATTAATGAATTATAGAGCTTAAAAAATTCTTTTTTGAGTTGTATAGCGAAGAATAGGGAAAATTTGCTCCATGCTTTGATTATAGGTATTTGTGTGTAAAAACATTAACCAAATTGGGACCCATTTATGAAATGCAGTAGTGAAATTTCAAGATGAACTGTGTTACTACTGGAAACTACTAAAAATGTTAAAGAAGTGGGGAAGGCAGTCAAACATTATTAGCTTTGAAAAAAAGTATAAACAGGTCTTTGGAGATGGGCTTTGCTAAATGATTTTTCCAGAGGAAAATAGATTACTTCCTTTTTACCTTAACATTTTATATGTTTTGTTCAAATGTATGCACATACAATTTCTAATATTGGGAGGAGAATAAATATTGATGACAATTCAGCAACTATTTTATCAGTATTGCTACATGCTGTGGTCCTGTGGAGATAGTTGAAAATGCATGAGTCTTGTCCTCAGGAAACTCACAGTCTACTCTGGGACACAATGGCAGGATGTATTAGTGGGTAAGATAATAAAGGCCTCAGACCCACAGCCTGAGCACTGATGCAGGGAAACTCACTCCCATTTGGAGGATTAAGGCCACTTTCTGAAGGAGGTGGCATATCCCTGAGCGTATGCCTAGCAGCAACTGCTGCAGAACTACAAAAGCAAGTCTTCAAAGACCACATTGCAGCTCTGTTTGTGGCCTGAATTCTAACCCCACTCTTCTCTCTGGTGTGGCAACCAGCTGAACTGAACCCCTGCTTCCAGAGGCTACCTTTCATCTGTACCTCGGTCCAGAGAGGCGTGTGCTTCCTTCCCTTCCACCATGCCTGCCTTCTGAGGCCTCCTATGGGCCATGATTCCAAGGCCTGACTTGAACTTACAGACCCCTCA